TTTGATTTCATGTACAAGTTAAAATGTAATTACAGTACTTACTCTTTAATTTGTTCCACTCTATTGTTGTTTCTGTTTATTGGAAATTTTCGAGATCAAACTTGAATATAATGTACCATACTTACCAGATCCCGAATTTAAAATGCCGAGTAATAATAGGAAGCGTGTCGAATGTTCCTATACTCGAAGTCATTTCCATTTTCAAGGCATAAGAAATGTAAGAGCAGATTTCACTGTGATCAGTATAAAGTCGATATTTGAGATTCGATTCCTTTTGAGAATTCGAAACATGAAACTGCATGTATAATACTGCGATTTTTCGATGCCAAAATCTCCCGTTAATTTTCTTTCCGCCAGCATTACTCTACCTAATTCACCGCCTGATCTCTCTGGAGACATTCTTGACATGTCCACGGCCTCCAGTCCTGTTCGAAACCATGATCAAACAGTTGTACAAGTCCTGCGAAGTCATCGGCACGGTCTTCCGGAGCATGAAATCCGACCGGAACGAGCCTCTGCTCCAGCTTCATCTCAGCGTGTGTCGATCCCGGGGTTGTCAACTCTTGCCCGTCCGCATCGACAACAGCGTCCAATGCCCCGCGTTCCTCTACGTCAAAATCGCCGAAGTCGTGCGTCACATGCTAGAGGCTGAACGCATCGGCGTGGAATCCTGGTTTTGTGAACTGGTGATCAAGCTCCTCGCGGCGTATTTCAACGCGACTTCCTTGGATCTCCGGTTGGAAGTGGCTACGCAACGAACGCTGTTTGCTGGCAAAGTCGGGCTCGTGATGATGGCGAAAACGGAGCAGGAACAGCTCTTGTCGTTGCATCAGCATCATCATCCGCAGCAGCAACGACGCAGTGGAGCGGACATCTTGAAAGAAGCCATTTCGGAGATCGGAGCGCTGTCTCCGTGGGTGAGTCGGTCTGAGGATTGCATGGATGCCGGAAGTCCAACAGGGGGTTCTGTGCGGAATGCTGCGGCTGTTGGAGAAACCCAGCAGGTTTTGGACCAGGTTCCCATGGGAGAATCGGACAGTGGCGAGGAACTCGGTGATGGAAACTCTGGTAAGCGAGAACATAACCCCGTTACTCACAATGGTCAACACTGTTCTCTACTCTCTCTCTGCATCAAACCTTCACATAGCTTCCGAGAATGTTGCGTAGGTGTCGCTTGAATCGCGTACCTGAATGAATGAATACAATGCAGTACAGTACTATATAACATTCGGGGCTAAAAGAAGCCGGAAGAATCCGGACTACACGATGGTCAAAGCTATTCGAGATGCAGTATGCTAGACTTTGCAGTTAGTGGACCCACATGAAAGAAAATCCGCATGACGAAACATGTTCAGGGGAAGAACATGACTTGCATTACAAATTATTTTACTCAACGAAATTTTTCGGATTAAAAAAATGCTGCGCAGCTCGTAACAATTTTTCAACTGAAACTCGAGATTCTTCAAGAGTTGAGAAAACAAAAAAGACAGCATAGTTTTACATTCTGTTTTCTTTGCCGCTTTCCTTCCTTTTTCATGTTGGAGAAATTCAGAAATGACGTTGCAAAAAATCTCATTACAATGAATTTAGCAGCAGTTTCTTCATACGGGCACTGCTACAGTATATGAATTTCGTGATAACAAAGTAATTTTCCTCCATAATCTCACTGCAACACATTTTTGCTGCGACTATATGTGGATGGGCCTTGAAAATTTTGACTACGTATATATTTGCTCAGGATGAAAAACCCCAACCTGTGCATGATCGAAAAACCTTCAAAATTGGGCATTCAAATCTTTTTGTGCAGAAAGTCTTGAAAACGAATATAATAGGTCCCACAAAGTTTGTGGTAACGAGATTTCACTGCATTTTTCGTACAATTCCAGATCACGGGAACCCAAATGGCCACGAATCATTCAACCTGAAGAAGGTGTGGAGAGGAAAATTTCTGCAACAGAAACGCGTAGGAATTCCCGGTGGAGTTTTCTTCCCAGGATGCGAGACTCTCGGTCAAGATGTCGCTGCTCAAGAATGTGCCGATTTTGCTCCGAAACCCGACATGTTCAGCGCTCTGGTCCGGGAACACTTCAATGTTCCCATTTTTCAACCCTCTGCCCGTGAGAACTCACTCTTCAAATATGCTATCAATTCTGAACAATTCCGCTGTGACGTAACCCGTGAAACAGCTGGTGAAGGATTCTTTCTTTTACAAAAATAAATCCGTTATGCAAATGATGGAGTTCATTCACGCTGTGCTGCTGATCTGGAGAACTAACGTAAAAACAGGAAAATTAAACGCTAGCGTTTAATGAGCGACGTACCAGAACAATTTATCTGAGCCGTCGATCAATCAAAGTTTGCAGTTCAACATCACTTCATTTAAATGCTTTGTATATTACTGATGTACAATAGTACCTGCAATTAAAAATTACACTAACTGATACACTATAGGTACAGCGTCTTCAAAATCAAACTCGATTAGGTCGACATCAAGGAAGTTGGCTGAAGAAAAAGCTACATTTCATGCTCGATTAATTTGTACACAATCTTTCTTCTCAAAAATTGTTAAAATTGCCTTCCTAAAAATATAATTCGAATACGTGACGTCAAACGCGAGTCGGAAGAAGTTCTTCTATTGGTTGAAGTAAAGATGGTCTGTACCTCATGAAAATAGATGTAATAAATTCTCAAGGGCAATGAATGTCAAAGGACTCAGTAATTACTGGACAGTGAGTAATAAGGAACGTGATGAGTCAAATGCAAATAATGCGACTTGAAGTAAATTTGTGTAAAGAGTGCTGATAGTGTGTCCAGGAAGTTTGAAAGTTGAAATTTAATTCGTCTTCAAAATCTCATAGTTGTCACGTTTTGTGGATATTTAGAATTTCTTGGATGATTACTTTTCTAGCAAAAAAATAAAAACCGAAACACGTCGGGGATTCCAATGGCATGGTCTTAATGTCATTCTTATTCATGAGGGAAATTATAAATGTTTTGTTTTTACATTCTTACGGATACTAAGAATATTCAGTACCGCGCGCGGAACTGGGACAACCCGTGCACAACACACATTTTAGCTGTCAAATGACCATGATTTTCCTCGCAGGTGACTTCGCTTCAGTCGAGGACGTGGAACTGCACTTCCGGAAACTTCCGGTTCAGCTACAAAAAGCTATTAAACATAGCTTTTTCACCAACAAACCCGTTTTTATGGTGACTTGTTGGCCGGATTCCTACATGGTGGAGTTTCTAAACATTTACAACCTGCTGATCCTCGGTGGGATCCCTCCTGGCCCTTTTGCCTTTGAATACTTGAGGTATTATTTTTTCCTCATTTGATGATAATGTGGGGAAATTTAATGCAGTACATTACAGTACAGTAATTGCGTGAAATTCCTCAAAAAGCTCAATTAGTAATTTGAATCAACAAAACTAATTAAACTTGGCGTGTTTAAAATATTGCTTCAAAGTTATTTCCAATTTTTAAAAATAAGGTTAAAAAATACGGTCCGACAAATTTTCTCGGAATTGGAATCGAAACAGCGAACAATTATTGATCTGAACAACAATTATTGTTCATAAAAACATTCTTGGTTAAAAAAAATGCTGCCGTGTTCGTCATATTTTTCAGACTTTTTTTTTGGAAAATTCACCCTGATGGCAGCTTTCTGCTCGTCAATCAAGAGATGAGGCACCCGTCTCACGAATTTTTTCTTGTACCCCAGCTTTTCCTTTCTTGAAATTGAAATTAACGCGGCATTAATTCGAAGGGGTGTCTCCATTAATTTACTATTACTTCCGCCATTTTCATTAACAACCGCCACTTATTGTGATGAGAATATGGCGGCTTTGAAGGCGGCTGTCGTCGAAAATGGCGGAAGTACCCCGGAAGACCCGGGGGGCAACCCTTGGCATTGAAATGCCGTGTCAATTTTGAAAATTCTGAAAAAAGAAGCTGCTGGGCTATGCACAAAAAAAATATTATATCTGCGAGATGGGTGCTCTTTCAAGTGAAGAACAGAATGGTGATTTCTGCAAAAATGTTCATGAAACATGTCGAACAGGGCAGATTTTTTTCATTATGCCAAAGAATGCTTTTTTCTAATGAACAATGAAGTGCGATTGTTTTTCACCTGAATCGTGTGCTGTTTCGATTTCTATTCCGAAACTTCTGCTATAGGCTCCTCGTAATTGCGAATATTGTGCTGATGTATAGATAAATGAAAGTTTTGGGTTCTCGTTGTCTAATATCAACTCAAACATGCATGGTATGATTTCTTTATTGTTATTCTCTCTGCTATTTGTAATGCAGAAACATAAAAAAAAATTATAACCCTTCGCAGACAATCTTTCCCTCGTGTGCCGACGATTTCCTACCCGATGCCGGCGATCATTGATCCCATGCCCGTGGCATCTGTTCCTGATCAGATGAGAGAATACAGCAGTGGAACGAATGCTGCTGCTGCTAGACAACAACAACAACATCAACAAATGCCTCCAGCAGCGATGGAAATGAGGAATAATCCGGTGCATTGCAGGATGCCTGAAGCGGGACAGTTGCAGAGGACGCCGTTGCCCGAGCCTTTCAGCCAGCATTGGCTCAATAATCAGGAGAAGAGGATCACCAAGTGCTCAAACCTCATCACCAATCTCGCGGTAAGATTTGCAAAATACGGTATAGAGTGAGACCCCAAGATGCGGACGTAATTGGTGCATCAAGAGTGTCCCTAAGTCAAAATGTCCCTGAGTTGAGTCTCATTTTTCCTTAGACTCGTATGATATAATTTTTAATTGATATTTTATTGAAAAAATGTTCACCATAATTCCATGAAAGTACGAATGGTCTCCCAATTTAAACTGCTGATTCAATCAATATATTTCAACACAATATTGATATTTGGGGAATTGAATACTGATACTGTACAGTGCATACAAATGCTGGCATTCTCTGTAAAAATAACAAGTGAAAATTCAAGTGAAAAAGAGAGAAGGAAGTCCCTCTATGCTGGAGGTGCTGTAACGGGGCTTCGAATTAATTCGTGCTGAGAAGAGCTGCTGCTGCTGGCAAAAGGGTTGGCATTTCCCATGCTGCTGGACACTTGACTCTTGCTGTACATGGTCCCGGGCATGGATTGTTGCAAACGGGGGTGTAGGTTGGGGAAGACGTTGGTTGAAGTCGGGTACGGGGGCGGTGAACGGCCCGGTGGGTTCGGCATGCCCTGGCCAGGTAGGTACGGCAAGTAGCCTCCATGAGGGTATCCAGGACCCATGGAAGAGGGCATCACGGTGTGTCGCATTCCCCTCGTGGGTTCACTTGGACAGTTTCCTGTTTAAAAAAAGTAATAATTATGAAAATAAATACACTTTTCTATGTATTATACACATTAAACTAAATCGTTAAAGCAGTGGGATTATGAAAAAAATCGTTACAATGTAATTCATGATTATTTCAACATTAGGGAATGCTACTTTGTGGGAAACGGGTAATAAATGCTTTCAAATTCTTCCAAATACGAGGGTTCTAACAAACGTTCTCGGAGTAGCAATGAAAATGGCATACAATTGAGCTGAAAAAAATTTATCCTTTAGCAAAAACATATCCTTTGGCACTCAAGAAAAAGCAGCCCAGTTTGACAAATTTTTTAAAATTTTTTGCAAAATTCATCCTTATAGAGTTTTGCTCTCCACTCAAAAAATGAGGCGCCCTTTTTTGTTGTAGCCCAGCTTTACCCTCAGAAGTTTTGAAATCAATTTGACATTCTTTCTAAGGGTTGCCTCCAGGTTTTGTTGTAGCCCAGCTTTACCCTCAGAAGTTTTGAAATCAATTCGACATTCTTTCTAAGGGTTGCCTCCAGGTCATCCAAGGCAATTCCGCCATTTTCATCAACAGCCGCCTTCACAGCCGACAAAGTGGCGGCCAATGTGGCGGCTGTTGATGAAAATGGCAGAATTGCCTTGGATGACCTGGAGGCAACCTTTGGCATGAATGCCACGTTGATTTCAAGAATTCTGAGGAGAAAGCAGGGCTACAAAAAAGGGCGCCTCATCTTTTGAGTGGAAAGCAAAACTCTATAAGGATAAATTTTGCAAAAAAATTGAAAAAAATTGTCAAACCGGGCTGATTTTTTTTGTGCCAAAGAATATATCTTTGCTAAAGAATATTTTTTTTCCAGCTCAATTGTATGCCATTTTCATTGCTACTCTGAGAACTTTTGTTAGAACCGTCCCATATACTGAATAACAGAATTTTATCATAAAGAATCTCGTTACAGTATAACGATTTTTCATTGCAGCACTTTCTTGATAGGCACCATCATGTTATGAAAATTTGGCTTCACTATACTCCTTTCAGGCTGTAATCCGGCTATAGAACTTTTTTGGCCTGATTTTGTGGATTGGCCATGAAGATTATTTGATGAATTTCAGAAAAATGAAAAAAAATTGAAAAGGTGCAGCATTTCAAATTCTTCATCAGCAATGCAAAACTTTATGTAGATAATATTTGGAGCTCAAGAGTGAAAATGACATATTTTTTGGAAATTCTGAGCTCTCTTTCAGAATGTAGACCTCTCTTCCAAATTAACAGTATGTTGGAGAAAATTTCTCCTATTTGAAACAACAGACAGGTGTGGATGAATAAGGTGATATGAATTAAGTACAGTATTTCTACCACATGTATTTGTTCAGTTTCTTCAACAAGACCAAAAAAAACACTTCATTAGAAACTAGAAAGGCATTTTTAATGAAAGGAAATTACTGTATTTATTTCAAACTTTTTCTCATCATTTCTTCAGAAATACTTAGTAATTATGAGAAGTCTTGAATTACTCATTTTGGAAGCTTTTCGCAGCATTCATTCCCACAAAATTCCAGTTTAAAATGTGTTCAAACATTGAATCTTAAAACAATGCATTTCACGTTATAACGAATTTTTATCACGTCCCTGGGAGTTTCTTGTAATGACATTTTACTGTACCATATGTTTACTCAAGTACCACGCATTCCTTTGTTCAATTCAAGAGGAAAAAAGAGGTGTGGTATAAACTTCTCAAAATTTTTGAGGAGTTTTGATGTGCATGATACTGTACATTCAAAATCGAATCTCTGCATGATGATTTGGACGACACTTCACACAATTCATAAAATCTTGGCCACATTCGAACTTTCGTCAGTACGTAACATAATAAAATGTGAAAATATTTTTTTGGAAATGAGAGAAACACCCCTACAAAAGAAAGAAAGAAAAGTGATATAAACCTTCCACCCTGGGCCTCGCTGTTGTCTTGGCTACTGCTTGAGCCATGGCAGCCCTCATCTGATACGGAGCAATCGAAGTCGCTCTAAACCCAGGAAATCCATTATTTTGAGGAGCATATTGCGAAGCATTCGACTGTTCCATGGAATTCCAGCAATTGAGTCCTTCTTGCGGTTGCCAAACTTGCTGATGACGACTGACTGGGTTGACAAACTGTTGAGGATAAGCACTTGGAATAGACACTTGCGGCGCTTTTATGGAGTCGATTGGACGATGGCCGATATTCGACTGATGGACTGGGGCTCCGGACGTCCCGGGGTTGCAGAGCACGGGTACATTCCCAGACACGGCATCCTGTGAAAGCGAGAATATGTATTTTTTTATTGACAACTTTGAAAAAAAAAAAGAAACTATTATACATCCAAAACAATTCTGGAAGGACATCCAAAAGCGCATGCGCACGAGAAATCCATCTGGTTCTCCCAGAAATACAAGGGTTGGTTCATAGTCTTCATACACGTTTTGAAATAAGATCCAAAACAGTTTCAAAACATAGTCAATCAAATACCAATTCGATTTATAGCAATGTTTTGATTGTTGAACTTATCGCATGAGGAAATTGGCGGAGAGTACGTCGAACAGCACTGAAATGTGATCAAATGATGGGGTTACGTGAATGAAAAATAAATTTTGGAATTGTTGAAAATCCCTTGGGTCTATTTCAAACAGTCTCAAAACTTATGAACCAACTCTTGTATCTACGGCAATATTGGATCTTCATCCCAAACTGGAAAATTTTTGAAGGACGAAAAAATGTATTTTTTATTGTCATGCAACAATCCATGCCCGGGACCATGTACAGCAAGAGTCAAGTGTCCAGCAGCATGGGAAATGCCAACCCTTTTGCCAGCAGCAGCAGCTCTTCTCAGCACGAATTAATTCGAAGCCCCGTTACAGCTGCTGGTGCTGGGTCCGAAGCTGCTGCTGTTGCTGCTGCTGCTGCCACGAGGGCCAGGTTCCGGTACTCGTCTTCCATCTCTGCTACTGCTGGGGATTCCGCCCTCGGGATATTTCCTGGAACCCATCATCCTGGGAGTGCTGGAGCTGGTGTGGAAGCAGCATCACAACATCAACATCATCATCATCATCAGAGACCGGTTAATTATAATGATGTTGCTGCTGCTGCGGGTTTTGTGCAGTACGCAACGAGGTCGACGAATGCGGAACAGAATCTTTGGGAGAACCAGCAGGGCTTTTTTGGTTTCCCGCCCAACAGGTTCGGGCATCCGAGAGTTTCCATGTCGATTCCTGGTTCTGTGGGTCCGAGACCCGCTGCTGCTCTGGGTATCAGGGGACCGCAAAATGGCTTGCAGGTAATGAGCACAACAAGTGATGTACGAGGGTTGGTTCATACGTTTTTGAGACTTTTTGATAAAGACCCAACGAAGTTTCAAAAAAAGCCCGAAAAATGTTTTTACAATCATTTGGCAACACTTCGGTGCTGTTGAACAAACTCTGCGCCGATTCCAATGCCTTTTTTCGTGCGATAAATCCAACGATAAGAAGTTTGAGTTCTGTTAGTTGAAAATAAGGTACCATGTGACTTCCGGCTGTTCCGGACAATGAAGAACGACCTTGAAGTGATGGATTTTGAGGACGATAAAGCCTCATTTCTGCAATCCAAAATTATCTTGATCAAGTAGCGGAACTCGATTTTTTGGCGCTATATCGCATGAGAGAAAAAATGCATTAAATTGGGCGGGGAGTACGTTGAACAGCACGGAAGTGTTGAAGTGTTGACAAATGCTGGTACTATGCTAGTAAAAATTGGCATTCCGGAATTGTTGAAACTCTCTTTGGATATGCTGTACAGCAGTCTGTATTTCAAAAAGTCTAAAAACTTATATGAACCAACCTTCGTAAAGTACTTCTGTGTCCGACACTGTTCCCCGACCTTTTTGGGGCCAGGGAACCAGCGAAAGTCCATGACATATATTATTATTATTTTTTTGTGATTCCATTTTCTCAAAACGCTTCTAAATGAAGTCACATCTCGGGCTTTTGATTGAAAAATTACTCAATTTTCAGGGACTTCAACCAAACTTCCCGAGTTTTGCATACGTGACGAACCAGGAATCAGCAGCACATGCGATGAGGGCATCTTACTACCAGTCTACTGCGCCGATTCGTGTAAGAGTTCTTTGAATAGCTGTACATCTCCTAAAATACAGTATTGTACACTATAATTCAGTCGAGATTTAAGTACAGCAGAATCTTTATACCGTAAAATCTCATTACAATAAACTTTGGTGGGCCACAGAAAAAGTTTGTTGTTCTAAATACTTTTTTATAATGAGATTTTCATCAAATGACAGATTTCTTCCTGTAATCGATTATATCTTGCTTTTGTGACCTCCGAATATTTGCAATTGGCTGAAGTGCGACATGAAACGCGTTCTGCTGATATATCATCAGGAACTTCTGCTTCTTTTGTGTATAGATGTCACATGCTCTACTTTAATGCCAATATGGCTCTTATCTAGGTGAAGTGTCCATTCTCTTAAGTTTGTGGTTATGGCATTGCTGGAATGAATAGTCAATGTTGTGAATTTAGTTGAACATGGATAACTTGAACCTCTTGAATTTGAATACCTGCGCACAGTTGGTACCTAGAAATTTGACCTTAATCCATTGCCAAACTACGGTTTAATTGCAAAGCAGTCAAAATTGCAAGACACTTTGTGAAATAAAAAAATATCAATGAAAAAAACTAAAAAAAATGGCCAAAGCAGGTCCAATTGTTGAACTTGGGTCAAATTGAAAGTCAACCTCCCTGCAAATTTGACAGTAAAATTTTGGGCAGATGATTTGCAAGGGTTAAAATTGTAAGGTACCACCTGTATCTGGATTTTTTAAATTTCCTGCCTGGATACTCTCAGAAACAATGCATTAAAAATCTTTCTAGGTGAAAGCCAAAATGCTTTTCCCCTCAAATCTCCACAGCTCCAATTTTCTGGAGTCCTTTTGGCTATTTTTTTATTGACAAAGAATAAAGAACACCAATAATAATAGTAGCAATATGTGTCATGAAAGGAAGTTTAAGACAAATGGAACAAATGAACCCTTGCCTCCAACTTCAGCATATCCTGTCAACTCATTCAGGAAGTAATTCAAGAACCAGAATACACTGTATATCACCAATTGAAATTTCCTGTGATTGTTCTTGCTTTTCTCTGAAAAAAATTTTTGGCTCCCCTCCCAAACTCAAAATGTTTTGCTGGTCCTTTGAAGTTTGACTTGTTGAAATTCAATTTTACAGTATTAATTTGCATATATGTATGCATGATATGCTGCACAGGTGGTACCTTGCAATTCAACCTCCTGCTATTTGACCATCCTGCAATTTGATGGTCAAATTTGCAGGGAGATTGATCTTTAATTCAACCCTTGCCCTGCAATTTGACCTGTTTTTGCCAATTTTTTGCATTTTTTACTGATGTTTATTAATTGAATGATGAGTCTTGCAATTCAACTGCTTTTCAATTTGACCCTAGTTTGGCAACTGATAAGGGCAAAATTGAAAATTACCACCTGTACTAAGAATCATGAAACATATTGTAATAATACAGTACTGTATTGATACTGTGCATCATTCAGTTAAGCTCCGAACAAATGTAAAAATGTGGGTAGATGTCGCTGCCTACTTAGATTAATGAGTTCAAGCTTAAGCCGTCGAAAGTCTGAACTGCTTCTGGCTATGCCTTATTTATGCATCTAAGAGGAGTCTGAGGAATTGCTGCTGATCATAAGTTTAGATGGACGAATCAGGATTCCACTGCAATTTCTTTTGATTTGTAAAATCATTTATGTTTTTAAAAATTATTTTTCATTCATGAAAAATAGAACCAGAACCTGTCGTCGCAACCGATCCCGATGCCGAACGAGACCCATCACCAGCACCAGCCGCAACCCGGAACACACCCGTGCCAACCCACGAGTTCCTCTCATCATCCCGGACCTGCCAACACTCACCCCTTCCGGTTCTTCCCGACGGAATCCGTTGGACACGGTGCCAGACCCGGACCCGAACATTCGGCGCAGCAATTCTGCAACCCGAATCCCCGCCGGGATCCGGGTGTTGGCAGTGCTGCTGGAGAAAATGTTCCCATGATGCACCAGGTTCCGTTTCAAATTTCCCCGTCCGCTGCTGCTGCTTCGTCTGGTCGTCACGAAAGTCGCGTGTTTGAGCCTGTGGTCGCTGATACGGTGCCAGATTTTCAGTCTCACGGTGCTCTTGGATTGGTGAGTGACGAAATTTAATCTGTTTTCGATAATAATGTATAGTAAATGTCTTTCCTTCCGTTCCTTTTTTGTTCACTTTGAGATTCACCTTGTTTTGTGAAGAAAGAACTAGGTTTAAATTCAATTTAATTTATTGAAGTCTGATGAAGTCCCGATGTCCAACAGAATTGACGCAAAATCGCCGGATCGGGGAAGTTTTTTTTTATTATTCGCATAAATGTCAGAATTGGGACATTGTTGGAAATTAAGATTTTAGAATACAGTAATTTCAATTATTCGGTAATGATTGCATTTTCGGTAGTTTTACGACATATGCCACGTGGATTTAAATTTTCCGCAGTTGCCTCGTGTTTGGAAAGTTTATCCGTTTATTTTTTTGTACAAAAACAGAGACAGCAAGCAACAGGCGTTCCCGTGTCCCAAGCGGAAAGTGGAATGAATTCTTTGAGCAATACGTCAACGTTTCTGACTTGCGGTGGATCCGTTTTATCGCATTCTGCCAAACCTGCTCATCAGCAGCAACCCCAAGCTTTGGGGAATCGACAAATGCAACCCACTTCTCTTCCTGCGTCCATGACTGGAGTTGGGTCTGCCCCGAGGGATCTACGAATCCCGGAAATTTCTGCCCAAGACCCTGTAAGTCCCATTACAGTATAGATTTCTGAATTATGTGTAAATCGCATAGAAAATTATGTAGTGTTGTGGAGTGAGGACGATTTTCAAAATTCAGAGTGTTCGGGGGACTCGCAGTGAGAGTAGATCATATTTTCAAACTGCTGGGATTTTGTTTAAAAAAAAAATTTATTGCTGCCCTGCAGAAATTTCAAGATATCTTACCCGAGGCGTTTTTCAGTAGTTAAACATCGTCAAGTAAATTACTGTGAATGACGTTATTGGAATATTCCAAGAGAAAATTTCTCGTGGATTTTTTTGTGCCTCATTGGTGATTTTTTTTCATTCAACCGAAGAAAATTGGTTGTAAAAAATGTTGACAAAAATGCATCTCTATTCACGCATAATTTCCCAGCAGTGAATTACTAATTTCCCGAGAAACTTACGAACATTTCGGCCAGAACTTTTTGTTGAGAATAGAATAAAATTTGATGTTTTCCAGAAATGTTCATATGCTGGAATATTAAGTCGCGGTTTCTGATGGGATTGCTCTTGCGTGTGTCGCGAATTTCTAAACGAGTTCGAAATTCTTGCGTATCATTTTTCTCATTGTGTTTCAAGCAATGTTCCACAATTGAAGGTATTATTATCTGAACAAATGTGAGGCACTAATCACTAATCAGTTGTTTCTATAATTAAATGCTTGCACTACATCACGGAACCCTCAGCACTGTCACGCCCTTCACTAAACCAGGTAATGGAAATTTGTGTTCTGGGAATCCTTTGAAAGATGCAGTGCAAAGTGTTTATCGGTATGCCATCATGCAAGAAATCATCGAGCATTTCTCTGCGAGGATTCTAGTTTTTGAAAAATTGAATGGTTGTCATTGTGAAATTCGTTGGAAGGATTGAATTGTTGCTTCACTTGATGTTTTGCATTCCATCGGATTGGTCCAGAGGTTTTATTGTTTTCAATAAATTGATGCTTTTTTTTGTTCACCCTTTATACACAAAGTAGGTTTCAGCACGCAGTTTGATAGTTAAAGAAAATAATCATTGAAAATTATTTGATCATTTTAAAAATCTGTGAGAGAATGTCTTCATTTCGTCAGAAATTTACATTCTTTTTCAATATTGGTCTCTACAAATAAAGTGAATTTCTATTGTTTTGTTTACTGTATTTGATGCGATAATTGTTGACGCTTGCCTGAATGGTTGAAAATCACTGGGGCCCTGTTTCTTGATTCAACCTAAAATTTTCATGACTCCATTTTTAGTGACTGAAAAACTGCAATATTTCAAAAATGAGAGACACCCGGCTTCAAAGTTATACATGGGTTCAGCCTGAATCCACTCAATTTCCAGTTGTGATTTTAAAAGCTCAACTCAATAAGTTATCATTATGTTAAAATATAACAAGAACCAAAACTTCCAACACTTTTTTGAAAATTGTATCCTATGTATGATGCACATCTCTCTTTTTCCTCTCAATTTGGAGAAAAAAGGTACCAGTGGTGTCCAAGTAAATTTATGGTATGCATCAGTGGTCCCCAACCTTTTTTGGTGTGCAGACCTGCAAATTTCCATAAAAGTTTTCACGGACCAGCAAATTTCTTACAAATTTTCTGCAGACCATCAGCAAAGTTTCACGCAATTTTTGCAGACACAAAAGTTTTTGCTTTAAACTTGGATGACTTTATGACAGGCATTTGAAAAGTTTGTGTCTTTTTGCAAAAATTGTGAACCAATAAAAGTGAATTATAGTGGAATGTCTTCAAAAAATTAAAAAGGTGAGCTTGAAAAAAGTTTTCTCCAAATGAAAAAATTTAATGATTAATTTAACCTGGTGAAAATTTGTCCCAAGTTTTATTAGGAGGAAAACCAACTTTTATTTTTTCATCAAATAATTTTCACTGCCATCATCTATCCAACATTTCAGAAAAAATAACAGACTCGTTCCATTGCTACTTTCAATAATAAATTATTCCCAAGTGTTATTAGGAGGAAAACCAACTTTTATTTTTTCATCAAATAATTTTCACTGCCATCATCTATCCAACATTTCAGAAAAAATAACAGACTCGTTCCATTGCTACTTTCAATAATAAATTATGCACCAGAAAATTCCCTACGGACCGGAAAAAAACTTATGTATAATTGAATTTTGAAATTGAGCTTGAAATTTGCCATGGAGGTGCATATCTTCAATTACAATGCCACTTCTTGTAATTTTAATACGACTTGGGGAAAATTTAAATCAATCATTCAGTATACAATAAACGAAGTTTACCCAATTTCAAAATTGTATCTGCAATGATTTTTCTTCTAGGATTTGATTCATACAGTAAAATCTCATTACAACGAAGCCATTGGGAACAGAGTAGAATAGCTTTTCTTTGTAACAAAAACTCGGCCATGAATTAACTCGTTTAACATTATGGCTATCAGCGGGCAGGGACCTAAAGAAACGACTTCGTTGTCCACGATTATCCCTTTCAACTATAGATTCTACTGTTGACAAATTTTCAAAATGTTTTTTCTCTCTAGCAATCCGCCCCAAACGCGAGAAGCGTGTCGAGTGGTCTCATTGCGAGCCCCATCAGGACGTCGACTCATTGGACTTCCGAGCAAGAAAATTTGCAAGCCTTGTTCTCGGGCAACGGGGATACCGCAACCAGCAGCAGCAGCACCCACGATCAGGGCAGTGGGAACCCGTCGGAAGAACCCAGCCCTGCGTCATCAGCGACGTCTTCCCAGCAACAGCAACGAGCCCTGTGCAAAGTGTGCAGCAAGCCGAGCACGTGTGCCTGTGAGTCCTGTCTAGAAGTGGCCTATTGCTCCGAGACTTGCCAGGTGAGACATTTGAGAGGAATTTTCCCGGTTGTGTACTCTGTACTTTTGAATGCTCTTTAGTCTTGGTTTTTTTTAAATGAATCGTCGGAATAACATTTGATAAATAGTCTTGGTCGAATTATCATAATAATTTTTTGATGCTGGATCGAGTTTCGTTTGTTGTGCGTATTTATATATAGTTACACCGGCGTTTTTCCCTGAAGAGCTGTTGCAGGATTTTAATCACCACAATGAAGAACTGTGACTTGACTTTAAAACGTGGCTACTAAAGGCTGACCCGAACTTGAACATTTGTGAATGAACAAGCCCAAGAATCAAGAGAATTTCAGGCAACCTGATGGAGTATTTTTTATGTTATCATGTTATACTGTCAAACCTCTCCAGGTTGAACTCAGAGGGAAACAAAAAAAAAAAAAATACAGCAGAATCTCTTTACAGCGAATTTCAGATTTTGAGGTCCATTTTCAAGAGTTTTGGGATCATTTGGAGTTTTTATATTAAATATAATGAACTACCATTAATTCCTTTGCAGGTCCCTGTCCNTTTTTTTGAAAATTGTATCCTATGATGCACATCTCTCTTTTTCCTCTCAATTTGGAGAAAAAAGGTACCAGTGGTATCCAAGTAAATTTATGGTATGCATCAGTGGTCCCCAACCTTTTTGGGTGAGCAGACCTGCAAATTTCCATAAAAGTTTTCACGGACCAGCAAATTTCTTCAAAATTTTCTGCAGGCCATCAGCGAAGTTTCACACAATTTTTGCAGACACAAAAGTTTTTGCTTTAAACGTATGGTATGCATCAGTGGTCCCCAACCTTTTTTGGTGTGCAGACCTGCAAATTTCCATAAAAGTTTTCACGGACCAGCAAATTTCTTACAAATTTTCTGCAGACCAGCAAAGTTTCACGCAATTTTTGCAGACACAAAAGTTTTTGCTTTAAACTTGGATGACTTTATGACAGGCATTTGAAAAGTTTGTGTCTTTTTGCAAAAATTGTGAACCAATAAAAGTGAATTATAGTGGAATGTCTTCAAAAAATTAAAAAAGGTGAGCTTGAAAAAAGTTTTCTCCAAATGAAAAAATTTAATGATTAATTTAACCTGGTGAAAATTTGTCCCAAGTTTTATTAGGAGGAAAACCAACTTTTATTTTTTCATCAAATAATTTTCACTGCCATCATCTATCCAACATTTCAGAAAAAATAACAGACTCGTTCCATTGCTACTTTCAATAATAAATTATATGCACCAGAAAATTCCCTACGGACCGGAAAAAAACTTATGTATAATTGAATTTTGAAATCGAGCTTGAAATTTGCCATGGAGGTGCATATCTTCGATTACAATGCCACTTCTTGTAATTTTAATACGACTTGGGGACAATTTAAATCAATCATTCAGTATACAATAAACGAAGTTTACCCAATGTCAAAATTTAATCAGCAATGATTTTTCTTCTAGAATTTGATTCATACAGTAAAATCTCAGTACAACGAAGCCATTGGGAACAGAGTATGGAATAGCTTCTTTGTAACAATAACTTGGTTATAAATTAACTCGTCTAACATTAGGGCTATCAGCGGGCAGGGACCTAAAAAAAACGACTTCGTTGTCAACGATTATTCCTTTTAACTAGATCCTACTGTTGACAAATTTTCAAAAAAAATTTTTCTCTCTAGCAATCCGCGGCAAATGCGAGAAGCGTGTCGAGTGGTCTCATTGCGAGCCCCATCAGGACGTCGACTCATTGGACTTCCGAGCAAGAAAATTTGCAAGCCTTGTTCTCGGGCAACGGGGACACCGCAACCAGCAGCAGCAGCAGCACCCACAATCAGGGCAGTGGGAACCCGTCGGAAGAACCCAGCCCTGCGTCAGCGACGTCTTCCCAGCAGCAGCAACGAGCCCTGTGCAAAGTGTGCAGCAAGCCGAGCACGTGTGCCTGTGAGTCCTGTCTAGAAGTGGCCTATTGCTCCGAGACTTGCCAGGTGAGATTTTTGAGAGGAATTTTCCCGGTTCTTTACTCTGTACTTTTGAATGCTCTTTAGTCTTGGTTTTTTTTTAAATGAATCGTCTCGGAATAACATTTGATAAATAGTCTTGGTCGAATTATCATAGTAATTTTTTGATGCTGGATCGAGTTTCGTTTGTTGTGCGTATTTATATATAGTTACACCGGCGTTTTTCCCTGAAGAGCTGTTGCAGGATTTTAATCACCAGAATGAAGAACTGTGACTTGACTTTAAAACGTGGCTACTAAAGGCTGACCCGAACTTGAACATTTGTGAATGAACAAGCCCAAGAATCAAGAGAATTTCAGGCAACCTGATGGAGTATTTTTTACTTTTATGTTATCATGTTATACTGTCAAACCTCTTCAAGTTGAACTCAGAGGGAAACAAAAAAAAAGAACAATACAGCAGAATCTCTTTACAGCGAATTTCAGATTTTGAGGTCCATTTTCAAGAGTTTTGGGATCATTTGGAGTTTTTATATTAAATATAATGAACTACCATTAATTCCTTTGCAGGTCCCTGTCCAAGAGTTTCTGTTCACTATTATTTGAGTTTCTGTATAACCATTGTTTCACTATAAGAAAGCTATTTTACTGATCAAAATAATGGCTTTGTTGTGCTGAGATTTTACTGTATTTGACTTGGGGAGTTGAGGTTTGCAAGAGCGTAAAATTAAGGACATTCTGGGCTTTGAAATGCTGGATTTCACAGGTTGCTGAACTTAGAGGAAAAGGGTACATCTTGCCAAATTAGTCACTCATTTCCTTTTGAAAAGCATCAAGTTACATTTTAATCAATTTTTTATCTTCCCTGGGTCCCCAAGAAAGTAGTCAGAAGAGTCCCTGAATTTAAATTTTATTGTGAGGTTTGAGTTAGCAAAGGTGAACTTTACATTTGATCTATGGTGCTTAACAGTACAAGGGCTGATTCATAATTGTTCTCAGTTCTCATGCTTTCCTGATAGTGCTTGAAAATAAAGTTCAAACAATTTTTCACCAGGAGGCAAAACATTGGAATTTCAGTGCCATCCATAAGTTATTTGTTAAATTCTGTATTCTGCAAAAGTCTGTTGACCAAATTTTTGTTTCTCAGCTCTTTTACTAAGGAACAAATGCGTGTTAAATATAAGATTTTTCAACTGAGGACTGACAGTGAAGTGTATTATATGCAGTAATTGATGAGCAATGTGCAAAACTTAGTTTTGGAAATTTGGTCAGTACCCTGGAATGAAATTATTCTTGGGCAGAATTCTGAACTAGGAGCCTGAAAACACCAAATGGATCAAAACTCACAGCAAACATATGTTCACTTCCTTCTGATTTCTTCAAGTTGAGTCAATATGTAAAATTACTGTAGTTCAAAACGTGTGGCCAAATAGTGTAATCAAGTATAGTGCAATAGTTTAATGTAGCCTTGTAACCATGCAGGAGGCTAACAACCACAAATGATCTAAATTCCAAAACACAGTTGCATTTCACTGAATATAATTATGACTTCAAAATTGGGAGGGGGGGGGGGCGTTGGTTTAATCAGGGACCATGGCCTGTTTTGTGAAGGTTCATAAATTAAAATGATAATCTTACATGCACTGTGCTAGAAGAGTTATATCATTCTTAGATGTCCTAATTGCAGGTGCAGTAGTTGCCTTAATGCTGTTGAATGTCATTCACATGGAAATTTGCATATTTTATTGATCAGGTGTTCTAAATTTAGCCCAAGTTTGATGACACAAAGGATATGTTAAATTGAACTAAGGGAGGTTAGAGACAAGCTTCTTTGAGGAGTTTCAATTTATTGTATTTTGGCCTCAAGATCAGGTTTTCACTGGAAATTGACATTTTTGACTTGTGGCAGTTTCAATTACAAAGATGGAACTGTACTCTGTTTGTTGCAGAGGGTACTATTATAAATACAGTATATTTTTGAAGATGCAATCATTTGAAAGATACTTTTAATGCAGAGTAAGTGACTTCAGGATATCATACAAAGTTCAGTTTCTGATTTCAGAATAGCACTCATCATGGAACTTGAGTAGGTATAGGAATTTTTAGCAACTCATTTTAAGGACTTTTGGCATATACTGTGAGACCCCGAAATGCAGATGTAATTGGTGCATCAAGAGTGTCCCCAAGTCAAAATGTTTCTATGTCAGGTCTCATTTTTGCGTAGACTTACATCATATAATTTTTAATTGGTGTTTCTTGTGCAAAGTACTGTACTCATCATAATTCCATGAAAATAAAAATTGTATCCCAATTGAAACTGATCCAATCATTATATTTCAATAAAATATGAACATTTGGGGAATTGAATACTGATGCCTCTGTACAGTACATAGAAATGTTGGCATTCTCTGTGAAAAAATAGCATTCAAGTGAAAAAGGGAGAAGGAAGTCGCTCTACGCTTTTGGTAATTTTTTAAAATTAGCTAAATGGATGGTAAATTGGTGAGAGAAATGCCCAAGAACTTTTCTTAAATAAACTTTAAGGTTGGAAGTATCTGTTTCTTGTAATTTGGCCTGGAAGGTATTTGCAATTTCATCACAAAATGTCCCTATATTGAGTCAGTGTCCTCATGTTGAGCCTTTTTATTAATTTTTTATGATAAAATAAGTGTCCCTATGTCAAATTGTCTGCGGGTTGAGGTGTCTGCATGCGGGGGTCTCACTGTAAATATGGGGTATATCTAACCCAAATTTTAGCCAACCGCATGCTGAGCCAACCTCACTTATGTAACCCAGACTGCTTGAATTAAACTCACCTTCCAGTAGCAAGGACATTTCTCGTCATAACACGAAATGTCTGCTCTTTTATACTAATTACGTGTGCTGATGGTAGAACTTTGCGAATAATAAAAAAAAATGTTTGTTTTGAATTTTGCAACACCGCTTATTGGTCAGCTAGCTATATACATGCGCAACCGCTCTTCAGGGATGAGTGAGCCTTCGGAAATTGTTTTTCAAGTCGCGGAAAAGAAAAAATTGATTGAAACTATATACTTACGCGAATTTCCGCTGATACTCATATGGTTTCCTTCATGTGCACAAAACCGTCAAGTGTCCTGCGATGGAAGGCAAGGGGAAAAGTGACCATTCATGGAAACTTTCGAGTCCAAACTCGTCCGGAATGCCATCCCAGCCCTGGGACTACCTTTTCTCATAAAAAAGTAGTATCAAGCTTCCCTTCTTTCTTTGAGCGGGAGTTTAAAAGAAAACGAAAAAAAAAACATGTAAGTTCTGTCCGGGTCTTTCCTTTCTTCTTTCCGAGCACAAAACACATGTTATGTGACGTCCGGTTTTTTCCATTCGCTTTCATTTGTTTGTTTTTGTTTTTTCTTCCTCTTTTTCTCTTGTTTTTCGAGGTTGATATGTACGAGGGTTGGTTCATAAGTTTTACGTCTTTTGTTGGAAAATAGATTCAACGGAATTTCAACGATTCCGATTTTTATTCATACTTGCGTGGCCCCATCAGTTGGCAACACTTTAGTGCTGCTCAACAATACTCTCCTCCGATTTCAATTAATTTTTTCATGTGAACAATTAAAACAGTACCGAAAATTTATTTTTGTTAATTTGCTTGATTAGGCACCCTGTGAATTATTCTGACAGTGAAGAATGACCTGAAAGGGATTTATTTTTGAAGATATCAACAGCCGGATTTCCGGTGTCAAGAATAAGCGGCTTCACCAACTAACAAAAAACCGATTTTCGGCACTGTTTCGATCATTGGATTTATTGTATGAAAAAAATGCATTAAAATCAGCGGAGTGTATGTTGAACAGCACTGCTGAAGTGTTGCCAATTGATTAGGGCAATGGGAGTAATTTTTATTTTTATTTTGTATTGTTGAAACTCAGTTGGATCTATTCCAAAAAAAGTCGCAGAACTTATGAACGAACCCTCGTATATGTATATGTTTTATCGTCGCCAATCCTGAAAGCAATTTTTCGCTTCACACAACCCGAAATGTGTTTTCTTAATAAATAAAAAAGTGCTCTGATCCGTTGATGCTAAGCATGTTCCTAATAGAAATCAGTCAAGTCTCCTTTAAATGCACAATATCATGCTTTTCGGGATTTTAAATGATGATGTTTCGGAATGTTGACAAACTGATTCCCCTTGAATGTCATTCGCAGTGCACATGCATAGTTTTTATTTTGGTGGGTGCACGCTGTATTTTTTTTTTAATGTTTCACCGCGAATGATTTATTTGTTGTAGTTACTGATTAAATCGTAGCGATAGAATAATTTCAGACGAATCTTCTAAATTTAAAGCCGTATAAGAAATAAATACTTCGTCTAAAACCAATCATAACACGTAATCATGTAGTGAAATTCTCGAGAACCTTGTATTGTACTGTATAATCCGTTACTTGAAATTTTCGGGTGATCTGGATTTGTTCAACTCTTCACGACGAATGGGTTTTATCTCCAACTGTTCAACGCACACTCCAGTTTTCACTTTTAAAATTTGGAGCTCTTTGCGAAGATTTAAAAAAATGACATCTCATGGGAAGAAGGAGCATAAATGTATACCTTATGTTTTGAACAGTCTCAACAGCTTGATCTTAATGGCGGGTAGCATGTGGAAAATATGGGACCTCCTGAGACATTATTTTTTTCTTCTTAAATTAAATTCCCTGTACTGTGAAAGAAGAGGGAAATTTCTATTGCTATGTCCGGGTTGCAAATTTACTTTTTTATGTACTTGAGTATAGCTAGTAGATTCTGAAAGTACAGTACTGTACCCTGAAATGCAAGTGCGAAATTTGTTTTTCTAGGTTCAAGCAGTTTTTGTATTCAGGGACGATTTTGTGAAATTTTTGTTTCTCAACTCAGTATATTGCAGTTTTTGCCTTGATAAAGTTTACATGGGCTACAGACAATTTTTGCACAGTGTGGCACAATATGGGAAGAACCAACTTATTGTAATTGAAAAACCTTCAAAAGTGTAAATCAAAATTGTTCCATGTTAAGAAAACTTGGCATTGTAGGAAGAATTAATCGCAATCAAACTTCATCCAGCTTCATTTTAGAATTGACTAATGTTTTGAAATAGTAATTTTAAAGGGATACTGCTTCATTTCTGGGAACAAAAACTTGTAATAATGAATAAATGATCAAGTTGCACATGTATTCTCCATGTGTTTCAGGTTATACTCAAGTAAGATCAGTATTTTTTGTTTACAAAGTTTAAGAAAATAAAGGTCTGAAAAAAGATAATTGTATTTTGCATTTTGAATGTTCTCCAGTACAGTATTCAGAAGAAGTTGATGGGCAGCAGTTCCTCAAATATCAATTAAGGAACAACAAATAGACTCTTTCTACAATTTCTTGTGTACAAGAAGTTTATCTGTGTAGAAAGATTTTCCGTAGGGTTCTCTCCCCATGTTATAGGGGTTCTCCACGAGAAAATTCTCTCAACAACTCTTATATCCCTTGAATTTCATTGTATTAAGATTCCACCTGTACTTCAAAGCAGCTTTTACCTTTTTAGGAATTTTAAAGTCAGAATTTACTAGTATCTAGGTTCTTAGAAACAACTTTCAAAAATGAAACAGGGACGACGACCCTCAAACAACATCGTTATAAAATGACAGTAAATAAAGAACTGAATCGGTACCCTCAAGGTAGTACAAAAAAAGTCTTCTGCCTTTTCAAATGTGAGGAACAGAATTTCCCATCACCCGGTAATTTTGGACACGTATGTACTCTTGATCACCGGTATGGTGGAGGAAACAAATTTCGAGCACTTTCCGCAGCACTATATGTATGAATTGCGTTACCAATTGTTTAAAAATGCCTTTCTGCCAATAATGTAACCTTCATCGTGAATCCCACAACGCTCGAATGTGCTGTTTGTCAGGTGTGTTTAAGCAAGTGCACGTGCTAGCAGCACTTCAAAGTAGGTAGTCAAAGGAAAACTGCTAGTACAATACTACAATGCCACTGTAGGAACGCAACTACTCAAACTTTAAGGTGAAAGTTCAAAACCATGTCGTCAGTGGTCCGAGACGACGATGAACTATTTTAACAAGTGCTGTTATCAGTTTATGTACGTTGGGAAGTTTGCAAATTCCGTGTTTTTGTCCGTCCATGATCATCATTGTTGGTTCCCTCTTAGATTTCAGCCAGATTAGCCCTCCTATGATTTTCGTCGTCATTTCCAAGCAAGAAATTTCCTTTCGCGCAGTCACTTCTTTAAGGAGCGGATCAAACTTGACAAAATCTAATGAAATATAAGCCACTCATGCGTATATAGTGCATTAAAAGTAAGATAAACGGACTTCTTGAAAGCGAAGTATACCTTAGAAAAATTGGAAGATTATAAAAGTTCAGCCTTATTTCACACATCTTTTCAAACCCTCACGTTTTCAAGAGGTTGAATAACTTTGTACTGAATCGTTTTCGAATCAATCCAGAATCGCAACAAATTCAATGTACGCACGGAAAGATTCAACTCGTATTTTTGATCTTCACGGTTCTGGCACATCATTTTTTGAACGTACTGCGGTATGTGTTCGGAAATGCTGGATAATAAAATACCTCAGTTTTCGCCGACATAAACCCAGCAGGTCGAGTCGTAAACATTTTTTTTGTATGGCTTGAGGTAAAGGGGAAGCGTGCAGGGAATTTTTGGGCATAGAATATTCACAAAACACATGTTATGTGACGTCCGGTTTTTTCCATTCGCTTTCATTTGTTTGTTTTTGTTTTTTCTTCCTCTTTTTCTCTTGTTTTTCGAGGTTGATATGTACGAGGGTTGGTTCATAAGTTTTGCGTCTTTTGTTGAAAAATAGATTCAACGGAATTTCAACGATTCCGATTTTTATTCATACTTGCGTGGCCCCATCAGTTGGCAACACTTTAGTGCTGTTCAACAATACTCGCCTCCGATTTCAATTAATTTTTTCATGTGGATAATTAAAACAGTACCGAAAATTTATTTTTGTTAATTTGCTTGATTAGGCACCCTGTGAATTATTCTGGGATTGAAGAATTACTTGAAAGGGATTTATTTGGAAGATATCAACAGCCTGATTTCCGGTGTCAAGAAGCAGCTTCATCAACTAACAAAAACCGATTTTCGGCACTGATTCGATCATTGGATTTATTGTATGAAAAAAAAATGCATTAAAATCAGCGGAGAGTATGTCGAACAGCACTGCTGAAGTGTTGCCAATTGATTAGGGCAATGGGAGTAATTTTTATTTTTATTTTGTATTGTTGAAACTCAGTTGGATCTATTCAAAAAAAAAAGTCGCAAAACTTATGAACGAACCCTCGTATATGTATATGTTTTATCGTCGCCAATCCTGAAAGCAATTTTTCGCTTCACACAACCCGAAATGTGTTTTCTTAATAAATAAAAAAAGTGCTCTGATCCGTGAATGCTAAGCATGTTCCTAATAGAAATCAGTCAAGTCTCCTTGAAATGCACAATATCATGCTTTTCGGGATTTTAAAAGATGATGTTTCGGTTACAACTGTTTGACTAAGGGGAACTTACAGTAAGCGTCACGTGTACGTATCAAAAATAAAACCACCCACGTGCGACATAAAAAAAAAATTACAAAGTGGCGCTTACTAAATAATGTTGTAGTCACTGATTAAATCGTAGCGATAGATTAATTTCAGACGAATCTTCTAAATTTAGAGCCGTATAAGAAATAAATACTGTAGCTAAAACCAATCATAACACGTAATCATATGGTGAAATTCTCGAGAACCTTGTATTGTACTGCATAATCCGTTGCTTGAAATTTTCGGGTGATCTGGATTTGTATCAACTCTTCACGACGAATGGGTTTTATCTCCAACTGTTCAACGCACACTCCAGTTTTTAATTTTAAAATTTGGAGCTCTTCGCAAAGATTTAAAAGATGACATCTCATTGCAAGAAGGAACAGAAATGTATGCCTTATGTTTTGAACAGTCTCAACAGCTTGATCTTAATGGCGGGTAGCATGTGGAAAATATGGGACCTCCTGAGACATTTCTTTTTTCTTCTTAAATTACATTCCCTGTACACTACTGTGAAAGAAGAGGGACATTTCTATTGCTATGTCCGAGTTGCAAATTTACTTTTTTATGTACTTGAGTATAGCTAGTAGATTTTGAAAGTAGAGTAATGTACCCTGAAATGCAAGTGCACACATTTTTGTCAAGGTTCCAGCAGTTTTTCTATTCAGGGACGATTTTGTGAAAATGGTATAAGAAGCTAAATTTTTGTCTATAAACTCATTATATAATGCATTTTTGCCTTTAAGAAGTTTGCATGGGCTACAGACATTTTTGCACAGTGTGGCACAATATGGGAAGAACCAACTTATTGTAATTGAAAAACCCTCAAAAGTGTAAATCAAAATTGTTCCATGTTAAGAAAACTTGGCATTGCAGGAAGAATGAATCGCAATCAAACTTCATCCAGCTTCATTTTAGAATTGACCAATGTTTTGAAATAGTAATTTTAAAGGGATACTGCTTCATTTCTGGGAACAAAAACTTGTAATAATGAATAAATGATCATGTTGCACATGTATTCTCCGTGTGTTTCAGGTTATACTCAAGTAAGATCAGTATTTTTTGTTTACAAAGTTTAAGAAAATAAAGGTCTGAAAAAAGATAATTGTATTTTACATTTTGAATGTTCTCCAGTATTCAGAAGAAGTTGTAAGTGATGGGCAGCAGTTCCTCAAATATCAATCAAGGAACAACAAATAGACTCTTTCTACAATTTCTTGTGTACAAGAAGTTTATCTGTGTAGAAAGATTTTCCATAGGGTTCTCTTCCCATGTTATAGGGGTTCTCCACGAGAAAATTCTCTCAACAACTCTTATATCCCTTGAATTTCATTGTATTAAGATTCCACCTGTACTTTAAAGCAGCTTTTACCTTTTCTCCTTAAAATTTCAGTCTTAAATGATCATAGATCCAAGAATCTTTGTTGAAAGTTTTTACTTTGTCCCTGCTGCTGGGAGTTTGTTGTAGCAATATTTTACTGTCATTTATTTCTTGACTTAGCCATTACACAAATTCGTTCACGTGCACGATCGTCGTGAAGTTTCATCCATCAGTTTCCTTTTGACGATCATGTTATGATGTTACGGTGACATCCTTGCGTTGATGAGTTTGAAATTCCACTTTCAAGTTTTGTATGTCGTCAGTGCTCTATCAAGAGACGTCGGTGAACAATTTTAACAAGTGCTGTGATCAGTTGATGTACGTTGGCAAGTTTTGAAATTCCGTGTTTTCGTCCGTCCATGATCATCATTGTGGGTTCCCTCTCAGATTTCAACCCTCCTATGATTTTCGCCGTCATTTTCAAGCAAGAAATTTCCTTTCGCGCAGTCACTTCTTTAAGGAGCGGATCAAACTTGACAAAATCTAATTAAATATAAGCCACTCATGCGTATATAGTGCATTAAAAGTAAGATAAACGGACTTTTTGAAAGCGAAGTATACCTTAGAAAAATTGGAAGATTATAAAAGTTCAGCCTTATTTCACACATCTTTTCAAACCCTCACGTTTTCAAGAGGTTGAATAACTTTGTACTGAAACGTTTTCGAATCAATCCAGAATCGCAACAAATTCAATGTACGCACGGAAAGATTCAACTCGTATTTTTGATCTTCACGGTTCTGGCACATCATTTTTTGAACGTACTGCGGTATGTGTTCTGAAATGCTGGATAATAAAATACCTCAGTTTTCGCCGACATAAACCCAGCAGGTCGAGTCGTAAACATTTTTTTTGTATGGCTTGAGGTAAAGGGGAAGCGTGCAGGGAATTTTTGGGCATAGAATATATTTCTCTGCATTTTTCTCCGTAGTGATCCTAAGTATTTTCTTCTCATTATCCTTGGAACAGCGTCGAGATGGTGTCGTTGGCAAGAGAGGAACCAAAAGGAAATGTATTCATCCCCTCTCAAAACCACAGAGTCATGGCGAAAAGGCAGCGAAAACGGATAATCCTCCTCCCCCAGCAGCAGCAGCAGATGACTCAACCGAAAATGACGTTGAACTCTTGAAAGTTGTGTTCAACAACGTTGAAAATTTGAGATTTGAAACCAATCTTGTCGGTTTGGTTTCTCCGAAGCCAGAAGTCGATGACGAGAATCACCCCAAAGTTCAACAAAAAGCCGCAACCGAAGCTCGGCGAAGCGGTGGACGTCCTCGCGGTAAAAAGGCGCAGCAAAAACCCGTTTCATCACGCCCGAAAAAACAAATTCGTCGGAGTACTGGTGCTGAAGCACTGAAAGAATTTCAGGAAGAACAAGAAGCTGCTTTGCTACAAAGGCTGATCATCGATTCCGAATCGCGACGGCGTATGACCTTCCACACTGCAGCTCTTCAAGAACATCGCGAACCGTTACCATTAGCCACGAAAGCTAAGGGCAAGCGGAAGGCGCCATCTTCCCGGGGTCGAATGAAGCGTGGAAAACCACGAAAGGGCTCAGACCCACTCTTCACAGAGCAGGACACCCCCAGTGACCCGCTTCTGGTATGTTCACCAGCAGATGTCGATGATCAATCGTTCATGAAATCCTATGACTTCGTGAATTTGGGATGGAGGACTCAATGGCACATCCCTGAGCTGAACTTTCCCGTCGCTGGTCGATGAGAAGTGATTTTCAGAAAGTCCTCGGCTTATTGTGCTTGTTTTTAAATCCGCTCCGTATTGGAGCACAAATTGTGTGTGGGTTACCGTGTGGGGTAATGATTTTGAACGTTTTTATTGCGATGAGAGAATAGTTCCGTTTTTACTTGTGTATTTTTTCACCTGGTTCGCGCTCTTTTGGAATTTCGAGTCCGTCCCGATAAGTGTTAATTTGACTTTCTTTCCCCCCCCTGAGAGTGAAATCAAGTTTTCGGCATTCCGTGTTGTAACGGTGTGTGTTTGCACGTACTGTGCCATGAAATATCTATTGGAAAGGAGGATGAAGATGGAAGGTATGCTTCGGGGGAAGAGATTGATGGATTGTAAAACATATTGAGCGGATTTTGCACTTTTCCTTATTTAAATAATGGATCCCACGCCAATTGTCGTGTCCGCGGATGAGTTGTTTTGGGTTGTTATAGAGATGAAGTCGTTTGGAAACGAATCAATATCCGGGCCCGTGATCCTAATACCATGATATCAATTTCAGCCAGAAAGAGCTTATTGATGGAAATCCTACCGCTTAAACATATCTCGCGCAGAATAGAGCATCTGCTGAAAGTGAAGCTTTCTTTTGTTCAAGAATCGAGTGCTAGTCTGAGAATAAGGGAATTACGGTATTTCAGTGAGTGTCTCATCCTTCGGTGGTTATGAATCTTGATTGAAATTTCTCTTTGTGTTTCCTCGCCTGTGACCGGAAGATCCGCGCTTCTCACCGGTGGTGCATCATTAAATTCATCATACACCCAGTATGATCCGAGGCAACTTCTCTGGATCGAAATCCTAAGTAATCGATGCACATCAGGAAAGTCAAAATTCCTCCCAGTTCGTACCAAAGATGTGTTAGTCGGAAAAGAGTTCTTCGGCTCTTGACTCGTACCTTGAAAATGTGAAAAGACGCCGTATTCATATCGCGTTGATGTATTGAACCTGCGGAATAGTTACAACACTCGGTGATTTGGACGTTTGGGCAAAGTGACAATCGGTCGTGTTCGGCATTATGAAGTACTGTACAGCAGGAAATTTGTTGATACTGTATACTTGCGATGTGCAAACTGATGAACGTCCCTTTCTTTCGATCATTTTCTTTTCGAAAAAGGAAATCAGGGATATAGAAAATACTTTTTTGAGAATGAATTATGGTGCCCGAAAATATACATAAATAAAATATCGACTAATGAAGATTTATGGAACCCGAGAAATAAGTAGTCCGAAATAGTCTTTGAGGAATTTCAAAAGATCGACATTTTACGTGTTTTCAAGACATTTTGATTCCCACGTCACGTGACGGAACTCATTGCTCAAAGTAATGAAATTTGTATTCTATTCCCCTGTTCTTGATAAATTACTGTTGCTGTTCGAACATCGTCCAGAAACCTTTTGTTTCAGGTTTGAATGAAAATGGTTGTTGTTTGGATTGGTTTTGTTCTGCGGGTTTTGAAGGTGTGCTTGTATGTGCCATGCGAACTTTCTCCTGTGAACTGATTTTGTTGATTGTTGCTGAATTTTTTCAGGAGTGCAAATTGTTTGAGGTGTACTGCGTGTTTACTTGAAATGAACTGCGTTTGTTGAGTTGAAAAATGCATATTTTCAACTATTTCTCTGTTCACTTCTCATGACGTCATCCACATATTCTTGCAGGTGTTCCAGCAGGAAAAGGATCAAAAACCTAATTTAGAGAAAAAATTCAACAAAATGGAGCTGCTTTTTCGAAAATCTAACTTTTTGATCATTGAACACTTGAAGAAAATCAAGGATCACCTGAAAGGTATCACAGTATCAGGTGAAAGGTATTTTGGTGCATATCATCAATCATGATCTCTATCAGGTAATCATGTCCCAGGAAATCACAACTGGGGTAAAAAAATGTACAAGGCTTCAAAAGACTCAATAATATTGTGCCAGGAACCTCCTCTTCCTTCTTCTCCATAAGCCTAGAATCATTGAGAGATCATCAATCCTCTGCCTTCACCTTTTTTTTTTTTTAGAGTGGGACGAAGTGTGAATTGTTAAACTGCTGAGCTCATTAAGTAGTTTTAGTAGGAATTTGATAAATTTAAAAATTTTGCAAACTCCAAAAAAAAGTTCTCAGCCAGTCATGGGCTGAGTTTTTTACTCTATGGCTGCTATTTGGATAGTCTCTGCTGTGACTCTTGCCCATCAGACTTTGATTTACTGCATTTCATTCATGACCAGGTGCTCTTGATCAAGTGAAGCACCCAAGCTTCTTAGTCCAACATTTGATATTGCAGAATAAGGTACACACCCCATTTTGAGTGGCTATATGATGAAACTGGAATATTTAAAAAGAAGAACCCCCAAATTTTAAAGCAGGAAAGAAGTGAATCCAATTACTGCTAATTTTGTTTCTCCTGATAAAAAAGTTTTCTTTGTGATGCAAATTTGTCCAACTTTCCCCATTTTCTTGGAATCAAGTATAATGTGTGGGGTTGCACTGGGGCTACTCTGTAGCCCCAATGGTACCCAAGTGGGGAAATTGGTGCACACTGGGAATTTGTTGGTAATTCTACACAGTGACCCTGCTGTGCACCTGAAGTGTGCCAAAGTTCTTCTGTTGCACATGCATATCCCCAATGTGCACCAATTGTGTGTTCACACCAGGATTACTCAGGGTCACATTTGTAAACAAATAAGTTACACCAAGGTTACAGTTGGTGCATTTGTGTGATGCTCCTGTTATTTCACATTTGTGCACCAAGTGTAACCCTGGAATGGTAGCAAAATTTCCTCTACAGGAGTGTACACTTGTACCCCCAGAATATCCCATATGCTCCAGTTGTGACCCTGGTGTGCACCTACTGTGGGGTCACAGCAAAAATAGCCACCCACTCAGGTAGTGTCTTTGCAGAGCATCCAAAAACTTCAAGGCAAGCACAGACCAGTGGAAGTCCCCGCTACCTTCCCAGTTGACCATGAGAATGGCAAACCGGGTTGCAGAACAAGCCTACCCTAATCCCAACTGTTTCTGGCCAATTCCTCAGCAAAGCCAGTCATGCCCAGAGACAGACACTTGCCAGCTTTGCTTGCTACTGAAAGGACGTCCCTGAGGACTCTAGCTAGTGTGATCTTTGTGTGAATCAATTCTTGCCTGTGTGTGACTGATTGTTTCCTTAGACTTGTTTAGGATTACAGTGTCTGATTGCTTGCCACTTTGTGTCAATTCTTGAGATTATTGAACTTAGCTGCCCAAGTGGGGAAATTTGTGCACACTGGGGATTTGTTTGTAATTCTACACAGTGACCCTGCTGTGCACCTGACCTGTACCAACGTTTGTCTCTTGCACATGCATATCCCCAATGTGCACCAATTGTGTGTTCACACCAGGATTACTCAGGGTCACATTTGTAAACAAGTAAGTCACACCAAGGTTACAGTTGGCGCATTTGTGTGATGCTCCTGTTATTTCACATTTGTGCACCAAGTGTAACCATAGAATGGTAGCAAAATTTCCTCCACAGGAGTGCACACTTGTAACCCCAGAATATCCCATATGCACCAGTTGTGACCCTGGGATGCACCTACTGCAGTGGGGTCACAGCAAAAATAGCTCCCCACTTGGGATGTTTAAGGGACTCCCATCCAGAGGATCCCGTCTCATAAAGGCTGATTCCAGTTTTCACCTTCATTCTACCCCCTTTTGTTGAATTCTGGCCCAACATAATGCACACCTGAACTTGCAAACTATTTGAAAATATGTATATACTTGCTGTTTGACTTTCATCCCCTTTTTTCTTGCAATTTTGAAAAAAGAAAGGCGCATATATCTGATGGTATTTGAATACCATAAATACCTGTGAGACTTATTTGCAGAGCGCAAAAGTCATGCTCATCTGGTTCCAATTTTTATCACTAAAAGTCTCCTGTATAACCTGTGTGTGTGGGTGTACCTTGATGGAGTGAGTGCGCAGCTGGGGTGATCTTTCTGGCAAATTAACCATATTCTACATATAATAAAGACATGCCTCAGTTCCCGCCGAGAGTGTCATGATGGCGCTTATTGTTCATGCCGTCATGGGTTTCCTTAAGGCAGCCAAGGAGGCCCAAGACCCTGGCTGTCGGCTGCCGACGCCCGCGGAGTCAGCATCTGTGGGCCGCTTGGGTTCGGGCAATCATATACAGGGAACCCATTTCCACGCGGGTTCATTTTTTTTTTTTTTGCAGTGTGACCCCGATGCCTTTCGGAATTATGAAAAAAAACGTTGCGTTGGATCTGGCAATTTCCTGCAGTTCAGTATGTGTATTATTAAAAAAAAAGTCCAGCATAAAATCGTGCTTGAAATTGAAAGTGCTCTTCGATTTATACTGAGCAAACATCTTTGGTAATTTGATTATGATTGTGTCGGGGATGTAGCTCGGTGGTCGAAAGTGTTCTTGCTGTGTGCAGTTAAAATTATCGAATTTTATTCAATGTGCATTAGGTGATGAAATCCTTAATTTTGTGACGCAGAAATGAAAATAAAGGACTCATTTTATTAGGCTTACATTTTATTTTCATCAGAATCCATAGATATTACAGGAGTATGATTCCTCATGTTATTTTTGGTATTTTTCCGTTTTTCAGTCATTATGTTGATGTTCTATGCGACATGCACGAGAAAAATAATGTTTCTGGAAGCTTTGTGCATTAGATTCACTTTTCTCCTGGACTTGAAACCACTTTACTGCAAAATATGGTGAAGGATCCTGAATTCCTGAATAATCATTCACCTTATTCCAAATCCACGAATTTCTAAAACATCGTAGATTGGATCAAATTTTTTATAAATAAAAGCATGATTTTTCTGAACGATTTTTTTCCAAAAAATATCATAGCACTTATTTATCTCACTGCTGGACTATTGGAATAATCATATTAAATTATCATTGATTTACATAATTTTTTTGAAAGTGCTTGTTCTTGTGTAAATTGTATTATAAATGCTCCCTGATTCATTTTCCAATCAATGATGAGTTTTTGTTTCTCTATTCAAAGGCTGTCCATCAACTCTGTACATCATTACTCAAATATACATATGATTTTTGGGTTCACTTCTGGACTCCTTCATTCATGCAAAAAGGTCAAATTCTGGGTTTCTCTAATTATGCTCAGGTAAGTTCTGAATCTTGAAGTTGAGAAGCTATTTTTCAAATTTCCAGGATGACTATTTTCAATAAATTGTCAAACATGATGAGAAGTGATTGGAAATTTTTCCATCAAAGGTCATGAGAAAATGTGATGCAAGCATGCAAACATTCTTTTCATACGTTTATAGGACCCCAATCAAGGGATTGAGTGTATTTCATTCCCTGAATTTTACTCAATTGGTTTGAAAGAATTGATCAAAGTTCAGCCTAGTGTACTCATCTTGACGGACTAAACTCTTCACAGAAGAGTTCCCTCTCAGTGCTTGAGATTGACATTTGAGTGTCATTAACAAAAGATTGTGTTGAATTCCACTTGATTTTCAGGTTGATTACTTGATTAGGTCAAATAAACAAAATTTTGCTTAACCTTAACCCTTGTGTGTCAAAGTTGGAAGATTTTTGCAAAATGTTTTGCCCAATGAGCACTGAAAATATCTTATTATTGATCCAATGCCTAAGTCAGAAAAAAGTCTAATCTTTTTTGCAATCCTGAAGAAAATTTTGCCTGAAAAAAATCCTCACTGGCTGTCTCACAATATTTGGCCAATTAAAGGGTGATTGGAGAAATTTTGACCACTTCTTTGGCCTTGAGCAAGGCTCAGTAAGCATTTCCAAATGGGATGTTGGCAAAGCTTGCTGTAGTTGAGTGTAATAATTGAGAATACATTACTTCTACTAGCAATCCTCAATTTAATGCCATCATTTGTTCTGCCACATTTGTTGCACTGAGCAAGGGTGACACTGAATTGAGGGTACGGTAAAAAGGAAAAATATATTTGAGGATTTCTACTGTGAGCAAAATGAGCTTGTTCACATACTTTTTTGGCCCTTGTAATCCAAGTCATATTCTCTGTGTCCCGCAATATGTCTATAATACCGCTTGTTTTTGAGTCACGTACCGGAATGTGAAATACAATAGTGTTGCATAGCAACTTGTTGCTCCAAAGTGGACAAGGTCAGTTGTCTGGTTTGCAGTCATTTACCCTGCCCCCTTTTTGCAGTGTCTCTGTCCTGCTTGCGCAGATGCATCTGGAAAGTGTTGAATCTATAAAAGGTACCCACGCATACTGTACAGATATTCATTGTGAGTCTGGCATTGACTGGTGTAATACAGAAATATACGTTGCACACTCTAAATCAAGAAGTTGTGTTTCATTTGTAAAACCCCGGCCATAAGAACTAAATCTTCTTGTTGAAAGCTTGTCTTAAAGAATTTACATTCTCTATATTAATTGACCTTTGGGAGAAGATGTTCTTCTGCAGTCAAAAGTGTCGCAAGATAAAATTCTTACATAATTAGGACAACACCCTTGAAGTGTTTTTTTTAAAGAGAATTCATAATATGAAGCTCAATTGTACTACACTGCTTTTTATGTGTATTTTAACATAAATTCAATAATTTAGGGCAAATTTGATTCTTACAACCACCTGTATTGTACCTGTAGTAAAAGA